TTTGAGCTGTGGTGCTGGAGAAGAGTATTGAATCTACCATGGACTGCCAAGAAAACAAACAGATTCATCCTGGAGAGGGTTAAGCCAGGCTACTCCTTGGAGGTAAGGATTCTGGGGCTTCGTCTGACATACTTTGGACATGTAAGGAGGGACGGGTCCTTAGAGAGGGACATCATGCTTGGGAGGTTGGAGGGACAGCGCAGGAGGGGAAGACCCTCTATGAGGTGGATTGATTTAGTGAATGGGGTAATCGGTATAGGTGTGTCAGAGGCAATGCAATTGGCACAGGATAGAGCAGGGTTTAGGGCTGTTGTACATAGGGTCGTTATGAGTCGCAAATGACTTGACAGCACATAACGACAACTATAAACAGCAGACAGAAACCTTGTCCTTTCCTGCACATCCACAATTATAGTCAGTTTGATTCCTGTGTATTCTCTTAGTTGTTTTTTTTTTGGTTTTTAAAGAAAGATATTTGTAATGAATAAATCATTAACTTTACAAAATTCTATGATGTGATTTCTCAACTCATTTCTGTCACCAAGGTCTTATTTGTAATATTTTCCAGCTACCGCAGCCCTCAGGCCTGTCTTTCATTGTTTTTGTTCCAACAGTCTTCTAGGTCGTATAGCTCTCGTGTGTCCACTTGCCATACAGCGATAATTTGTGGTTGCTGTGAGACTGAACACTGTGACACTGATGTGTCAAATGTGTTAATGGTTACCCATGGTGGATAGTGTTTGGTGGAGCTCCCCGATTAAAACAAGTTTGGAAGCAGGAGTGGCATCCACTTCCAAAATAGCTTGTCCCTGGAAACTCTGTGAACCTGGAGAAAGGATGAAAGTCACACAGGTGTTGAAGACTTTCTTTCATAGGGTCGCTATGAGTTGCCTACGACTCAATGGCACTTAACAACCACCATCACCAAATCTTGTTAGCCTTTTTTGCATTCTAGTCACTTTAACTCCACAGTCAACACTTTTAGCAACAGCAGCCAGGAAATTAAAAGATGTATTGCATTGAGAAAGTCTGCTGTCAGGGACCTCTCCAAAGTACTGAAGAGCAACGATGTCACTCTGGAGTCTGAGGTGCGCCTGATACAGGCCATGGTCTTTGCAATCACTTGCTATGCATCGGAAAGCTGGACAATGATTAGAGATTATAGAAGAATCGATACCTTTGAGGTATGCTAGGAGGACAAACAAATTCATTCTGGAGAGGGCGAAACCAGGCTGCTCCTTGGAGTCAAGGATTCTGGGGCTTTGTCTGACATACTTTGGACATGTTGCAAGGAGGGACCAGTCCTTGAAGAGCAACATCATGCTTAGGAGGGTGGAGGGACAGTGCAGGAGAGGAAGACCCTCGATGATATGGACTGATTCAGTAAATGAGGTAATGGGGGTAGGTGTGTCAGAGGCAGTGAGATTAGCACAGGATAGAGCAGCGTTTAGGACTGTTTTACAATGAATATGAATTTTGTTGGCAAAGAGTCGAATATACCCTGGAGTGGTAAAATAACAAACACGTTTGTCTTAAAAAATGTAACCAGGGTGCTTGCTAGAGGCAACAGCGTAGGACTTTGTCTCACGTACTTTGGACATGTCAGGAGGGGCCAGTCCTTAGAAGGAGACATCCGTGGAAAGGCAGAAATTAAGAGGAGGGGAGGACACATTGAACAAGGTGGATTGATCCAGTGATACACGATGGGCTTAAGCATGATGGAGAGTGTGGGGAATTAGGCAGGATTCCAGACTGTTGTATGGAAGGTTACGATGAATTGGAATCAACCTGATGGCACCTAACAACATAACAACCACAGTCAGATGTATGTGTGACAAGTGGTTTTGGTTTTTTAACTTCTTATTTTGGAGCCACAGAGAACCAGATGATAGAGGAGGTTGACAGTTGTGGAATGAGGAACTGGGCAGAAGTTAAAAAACTTGTTAGGCAAACAATTACCTATTGGCCATTTACACATTATTTATGGACTTTGTTCCAAAAGCATTTTTTCTCCTCTTAGAATTACTTGGCTAAAGAACAAACATTTCTGTGGCATAAGAATAGGATTCTGATAGTGGGTCTGGAAGCCTCTGCCCACAGCTGTCCTTTCCAAGATGACTGAAGGTAATGCTTCCACCCAACAGGAATGAGAATTTGCTGGTGACACATCACACTGCCTGCCACACCTAAACTGTGACCCTTTTCTTGGAAAATACACTGGATTCTCTGAATTGCATCTCAGCTGCTGGATCTGGTGAGGTCTTAGCTGTGTGTGGTGTGATTCTGGCCATGTGGGGAGGGGTGATAGAAGGTTTAATGCCAACAGTAATTGTCAACAATAACATTTCATGCCATGGAAATCTTCTAAGGATGCTGTAGCTTGTCAGGCCTTAGGCCCAGACCTTATATCCCTGAAAAAGAGGAAGACCCTCAAGGAAATGGATTGATAGTGACTGCAGCAGTGGGCTCAAACCTAGCAACATTGCGAGGTTGGTGCAGCATCGTGTAGTGTTTCAGTACACAGAGGGCTGCTATGAGTTGGAACCAACTCCAGGGAATCTAGTAGTAACAGCAGTATTCACCAGCAAAGTCATCTGTAATATGTGTGCTGATTTCCTCGCTTTTTCTCCTTCCTATGCCCCCTCATTTTTGTCCTGTTGTCATGTGCTATCATGTCATTTGTAACTCATAGTAACCTTATATACAGTAGCTCTGAACCCTGTCCTATCTTGAACCAATTTCATTGTCTCTGACATACCAACCCCCATCATCCCAGTCACTGAGTCAATCCATCTCATCTAGGGTATTCCTCTCTTGCACTGTCCCTCCACCCTTCCAAGCATGATGTCCAAGGACTGGTCCCTCCTTGCAACATGCCCAAAGTATATGAGACAGAACTTCACAATCTTTGCCTCCAACCAAGACGCAGCCCGACTTCACCGTCTCCAGGATAGACCTGTTTGTTCTCTTTACAGTCCATGGTATATTCAAGACTTTTCTGCAGCACCACAGCTCAAAGGCATCAATTCTTTTGTCATCCTTTTGTCCAGCTTTCTGATGCAAAGCAAGTAATTGCAAAGACCATGGCTTGGATCAGGCACACCTTCTCTCTAGACTGACATCATTGCTCTTCAGTACTCTGGGGAGGTCCCTGACAGCAGATTTTCCCAACTGAGTTCATCGTTTGGTTTTCTGGCTGCATTAGATGCAGATCCAATTGTGCTGCCCTTGTGTCCTGCCTAGTTCTCACATGCATTTCTTCTTGTCCCTCTTTCCATCTGTGCCCTAGCTTAGCATCCCTGATAGCACCAGAGCTTCTGTCCTCGCAGATCTCTACTGCCCCTGCCCTCCTGCAGGGTGTCTGTGCTCAGTGCCCAGTGCAAGCTGACCTTGGGCCTGCCTGCAGGCCTTGCTCATCACCGCCTCCTGGCAGCATTCCCCAGCAGACTTTCTGCTTTCTCCATGATTCTCTTCCACATCTACTTATCCTCTTCCCCTCATGCTGTGTTTGCCTTTATCATAGCACTTGCCCATATGCATTATTATTAAGGACTTACTCATTCAGCAAATATTTCTTTAGTGCTGTTATTTCCCCAGAGCGGCTAGAGCACAAATACCTCAAGTCCGTGCCTTTGATGAATAGACAGTTATTTACTTGTTATTCTGAAGGGGGTGGGTGTTTCTATATCCAGGTAACATCCACGTTGATCCCTTCCCAGGTGTTCCTTGATTCCTTGGCAATCTTCACATGCCATCTGTCTTCCCCTATTCATGCTCGCCTAGAAGTGATTAGATTTCAGGTGCACCTTATACTGCTGTGACATCTGTAACATAACAGGAAACTGAGAGACCCCACCAGAATTACGGAACCCTCCCTCATAAAGCTTTCCTTCTGTTGGGGAAGACAGAAAAGAAACCAGATGCTGTTGTCAAGGTCCCCAGTGACTTCCATTCGTGGTGTTAAATCCAGGAGTTCATCCTCACCCCTATTTTCTTAACCTCTCTGTAGCAGTTGATACCACTGACCCAGCCTTCCTCATTGAACACTTTGTTCACTCAGTTTCCAGCACACTTCCCTCCTCATGTCCCTTCCACCCAGCCCCTCCTGGGAATGAATCAACTTCGCTGGTTACTCTTCATCTCACTGGCTTCTTCAACACTAGAGGCCCCCACCCAATTCCTCAGGAGGTTCTGTCAAAATATATGTAGTGTCTGATCTAAGCACTTCTCACCTCTTATGTTTCTGTCACCCAGATACAAACTTGATGGTTTCCCCACCAGAATTACGTACAATATGTCTCCTAGCATTCACCATGGCCCCACTTCAGTCAGTACCCAATCCAGCAGCTGCAGTGGGTATTTCAGCTCGAGGGACAGGGTTCTGCATAGGACTGCAGCTAATATGTGATGAGCTCAAGGTAGAAGCAGCAAGGTAAGAGGTGGAGTACACCTTCATGGGGATGCCTTAAAATAGCCACACCTCCCCAGAGCTCAGTCACTACAAATCGCTGCTTTCAGTTCATGAGTTTGCCAATTTAAAGAAACATGGCTTTCCTCATATTCAGGTGTTGGTAGGTGTCATTGGGTACACTATGACTCATAGTGACCCTGGGACAGTGGATCTGAACTTCGCACTATGCTCAGCATTTCTAATACATTCGAGCTCATTGTTACTCTCACTGTGGCAATTCATATTGTTGAGGGCCTTCCTTTTCTTCAGTGACCCTTCACCTTACCAAGCAAAGTATCTTTTTCCAAGGACTAGCCACCCCCAACAATATGCCCAGCATATATAAGACAGTTTCACCATCCTTGCCTCTAAGCAACATCCTGAGTTTTTTGTACTTTCTTCAAAATGTCTCTGCATTTTGGCAGTCCATGAGATAGTCAGTACTATTCTCCAACACCACAACTCGAAGGCATCAGTTCTTCTGCCATCCTTATTCATTGTCCAGCTTTCAAATGAAAAGCAACTGAAAAGACCATGGCTTAAATCATGGCCCCTTAGTCTTTAAACTGACATCATTGCTCTTTAGCACCTTGGAGCAGTCCTTGACAGTAAACTGTCCCAGTGCAGCATGTCTTATGAATTTTTTACTGCTAATACCAAGGGTGCTGATTGTAGATTCAAGCAGTATGAAAGTGTTGACAACCTGTCTTCTATCCTGATGATGCCTATTAGCCCAATTGTAAGGATTTTTTGTTTTCTTGATGTTGAGATGTAAACATTTTGTATTTGAGATGTAAGCACAACAATTTTATCTATACTTGTATGTCCATCCATTCATCCTTCTAATTGTGCATCCAACTGTCTATCCAGCCATCCATCAGTTATTGATCTGTTTATTTGAGGATAGGGATTTTTGTGGCCATTTACAGCAATGCTTTCTTATTCTTAATTTCAGATTAGCTGTAGTCTAATTCTTAGCTACTGGGCTGTGAGAATTTATATAATCACAGCCTAGGATGGTGCAGTATTTTGCTCTGTTGTACATAAGCTTGGGACTAAGACCACCAACAGTCTCTTCATGAAAATATTTCCAAGTATCATATGATCGATTGCCCCTACACTCCCATCTGCTTTTCTAAAGTCTGAGTGCCTGGTGGTTCTCTTTCACATCACTCTGTTCCTCTGTTTTGTACACCATCTAATTCACTGTAAATATACATTTCAAGTTTACATGAATGTCACTTACTCATTGCTTTGTGTATGATGACAAATATATTTTCAGGAAAGGCCAGTCTCTTGGAAAAGGACATCATCTTTGGTCAAGTAGAAGGCCAGAACAAAAAAATGAGGAAAACTTTCCATGAGATGGGATTAGCACAATGGACTCAGACATTCGAGGTCATGGAGATGGTGCAGGACCACGTTTTGCACCAATTTTACATCAGGTCGCCTTGAATTGGAGGGGACTCAAGGGCCATGAATGATGACATTAAGCATGCCACCTGTTGAGACCCTCAGCTCTGTTTCCACAGCTGGGGCGTGGTGGTCCTTGAGCTTGCCATTCTGTGCTGCCATCATCCACTCATCCGTCCCCCTTCCTAGACTGAATACTTTGAAGCAGGGACGAGCTTGCTTTCAGCAGTCTCCAGTGCCTGGAACATAATGCTTGGAGCACTGAGAATATCCTCTGGTAAACTTCAGGGTTGTATGACTCAAGTTTGGAACTGGTGGGAATTGAAAAGAAATGTCTCCCTGTTGCATTCCTTCCTCACCGAATTTAGGTTTCAGCCATGTGCAAACAGGTTATTAACTCAGTCTGACAATTTGGCTGCAGATGTGCTTTCTGTAGCCGGTGATCTTTTGCTTTTAAACAAATGGACTCCTAACTCTGTCCCTTTAAATCCGCCACAGAACTTGTGTACCTTTATTAGTGCGGCCAGTAAATTTGCTCAACTCCAGTACCTTTGGAAGACAAAGGACTCGGGAGCAGTGAGTGCCCTGACGTGGAGTCTCTCCTCCTATACCTGTGCAAGTAAGACGACTACGCACACACTGGGGTATCTGCTGGCAGCAGCAGTGGGGTCCGCCTGAAAGAATGTGTTAACTCGGGTCCAAGTGTCATGATCTTTTAACCACTACTGGATCATAGCACCTTAAACAGAAGTGTGTATGTGTGTGTCATTTTGATGGCCTAGTGTATAGGGAGTTGTGCTGCCAACACAAAGTCACATAGTTCAAATCTACCAGCTGCTCCACAGGAGAAAGATGGGCGGTATCCTCCTGTGCAGTTTACAGCCTCTGAAAACCCACTGGAGGGTCAGTGATGAGTCAGTTCTAATTTGACAATGAGATTTTTCAAATTTATGTATTTACAAAACTGCTTTAATGCAGACCATTCTCCATTTTCTGTAAGATATGGACTCCAGTTGCCAAAGAAAAAAGAGAGCACCCGTTTCAAATCCCACAGCTCCTCATTAAGAGAAAGATGAGTGCTCTCCTGTAAAGACTTAAAAAAAAAAAGAAGTCACAAACCCATTGCCAGAGTCAGAACCAACTCGTATCTGACCCTCCACTGGATTTCTGAGGCTGTACATCAAATGAGCGGGGGGAGACTGGGGGTTCAAACCACCAGAGGCCTCACCTTTGGTTAGCAGTACAACACTCCATACTATGCGACCAGAGATTTAGAGCCTCTGAAACCTGATGGAGGGTTGCCAGGAGTCAGAAAGGATGTGACGGCAGTAGGTTTAGGGATTTTGGGGGGTGGTTGAGTAGGTGTTTGATATGTATAATTTTTGACTTGCTAATTATATACATATGGAACTCTGGTGGCCTAGTGATAAGGAGTTGCACTGTCAACCTAAAGGCAGGTGGTTTAAATTCACCAGTTGCTCTGAGGGAAAAAGATGGACAGTCCTTTCCCGTGGGATTTACTGCCTCTGAAAACCCACTGGAGGGTCAGCTGTGAAGCGGTCTAACTTGATGGTACATAACACTGAGCTACACAGGGATCCCTGGAGCTGTGGCCTGTAGGAAGGTGCTCTGCTAACACAAAGGCCATGCCTCTCTGGCTTGAATCCCCCAGCAGCTCAGCTGGAGAAAGAAGTGCAAGCTCCTTCTGTTCTGTTTGTTGTTGATGCATGTCATCAATCAGAACTGACCCATAGCTGACCCGCCGCCAGTGGGTTTCAGAATCAATAAATTGTACAGAAGGAGACTTCCCATCCTCCCATGGAGCAGCTGGTTGAATTGAACTATATGCCTTTGGGATTGCAGTTCAGCTTCTTACCACTAGGCTACAAGAGCTCCCTATGGACAGGCAGCTATGAGCGTTCCAACTCAATAATAATGAGGTGCTTTGGGGTTTTTTGTTGTTGTGTTGTTTTTTTTTAGTTTGAGTTACACACTTAAGAAAATCCTCTCTTTTTCTCAACTCAGTTTCCTTATCTATAAAGTAAATTGGAGGAATCCATGGATTTAAAAAGTCTAGTTTAAATTAGATGGAGCCTTTTAAAAAAAATGAAATCTTACCTGGAACACGGAGATGAGATTTTTGGTTTTAGGTGTGAGTGGGATCTGTGCATTGGCAGATAGAGTTGTGGGAGCTCAGCCTAACTCAGGCTTCTGGGACAGCCCTTAAAGCACCTCTGGGCACTGTTTCTGCTCCTGAGAGCTGTTGCAAACCCACTGAGAGTTGGCTCCGACTTGAAAGTACTCGACAACAGGAAGGATAGATGGCTGGATAGATAGTCTTGCACTACTAAAACCTTTCAGGGGTGCTCTGGTGGGCTGGTAAGGAGGCAACCCAAAGGTATGTGGTTCAAGGCTACCAGCTGCTCTGCAGAATGATGAGCAAGCTCTTCCTGTGATTAACTGCCTCTGTAAACCCTCTAGAGGGAAAGCTATGGGTCAGTCCCAACTCAACGGTACATAACAGTAAGACTTTTTAAGAACAGTTAACACATATGGTGATATATTCCTGTACTAAAAAGGCAAAAAGTTAACACCAAAGTATCTCATATGCAAGCTGATATTATTAAAAACTTCTCTTTCACAGCAAGAATAATCACCACCTTAATGACCACCAGTGATCTTACAAGTAAGCAAAAGATGTCTCTTTCTCTATTTATGTCTTTTTAGACTGTATGTTTGTAACTGCTCCCTTTGTAAATTGTCTTAAGAGTTTGATTAGGCCATCCTGGCCCTGCTAGGGAATAGATTAAAAGGACAGCAGTGTATTGCTAGTCTTCATCAGTCATTTTAAGCAGCACAGAGTCTCCTGCACTACCTGGAGTAGAATACGGACAATGTAGTAGATGCCTTGGATATGCTAGCAGGACTGGCCACTTTTTGGAAGAAAATATGCTTGGAAAGATGAAAGGAAGGCAGGCAAGGAAGACCCTCCATGAGATAGATTGACACAATGGCTGCAAGAAATGGACTTTAGCACAGTGGAGATGGTAAGGGATGGCACAAAATTAGGCACGGTTTTAATCTGTTTAACAGAGGATCACAACAAGTAAAAAAAAAATCTGATGGTACCTAATAAAAGCATCTCCATGGTGCTTCCATTCTAACAGTGGAAATGGACAGTGAATACAATAAACAATTATTGAATTATAAAACACTAGTATTGGGTTAGCATCAAACAGATAAGCTTAGCCTAGAAAAATTAATATGAAAAGTGAGACCCTGAGGGCAAGTGGAGACTTAACCACTAGTGAAACTAGCAAAGGGGCTGTTTTTACACATTGGCAGCCTATGTGAAGGCTATGAGAAGATGCATAGCTCACGGCACTGAGAATACCAGCAGAGGTGAAGTACAGAGCACAGGGGAGTGATGCAAGGCGGGAGAGGCTCACAGTGCAGTCTAGACATGCCCACAAGCAGCGGAAACATCCGAAGGCTGTGCATAAAGCAGAGGGAAAACAAACCAATTTATTTCATTCTCTCATACTTTGCATTGTGCGTGTCTGTGTGCCAGGGATATATTTTTTTATGTTATAGACTAAGAAGACATCATCTATTTTAGTCATTTTCCAAAAGATTAGTAATATACAATTGATATGGGAATTGAAAAAGTAGCTTAAGAAAAGCCAAGTGGACAAAAGGTAGTTGTTAGGATAAGATCATTTTCTCAGAATGACTTAGAGCCAAAGTCTTAAAAGTTCTCACAATCCATACATCATTTTCATTTTAGGAGGTTAGAAGAACTCAGGCTACTTTTTTAGAGCAGGAAGTAATTTTTTCTGAAATATGAAAACAGTAATTATTAAACATGTAATTTTTTTCTTTTTTTGGGCTGATTTCAGTTCTTATACGCTTTGTGATCATGCTGGCTTTCAATATATGGGTAACAGCTACAGTACTCCATTACCGGAAGACTGCAGTAAAGACTGAATAATGGATACCTGCTCCTACACTGAAAGTGGATTTCAAATAGCTGAACCAAAGAAAGGAACCACAGCTCATTGAAGGCCTTTATAAATTTAGTTAAACCATTTTAAAAAATCTTGAAATTAAGCGTGTTTTAGAAACACAGAAAGATTGGGTTTAGAATGCTCATTGCTTTTTTTTAAAGCAATCTGTCCTTCCCCTACTCGCAAGCCATTAGGGCTGAAATACACAGTTTTTTAAATTCTTGATTAACTGATGGAAATAGCCTAAGCCTATTTTGAAACCACTCTGACCCTCATTCTTGAAGTCATGATTAAGTTCTCTCCAAAGAGCTAACTCCATCAGCTTCCAAAGCCTTGATTCAGAAGTAGAACTGTAATTACTAAGGTTCACTTTGTGGGGTTAAAGCTTAAAAGAATAACACAATGTTCTTGTCATATCTACAGGCTACAGTAAGGATATTAAGACAAGCATAAATGTAATCTGACTGGCTGATATACCAAATATGTCTTTCACATTGTGCCTTACAAGTTACCATTAACTGCAATCCCAACATTCTGATTCAAGCAGTGCTGCCATTTGTAAAATAGCCAAACATAACATTATTCTGCATTATTGGAATTTGGAACAAAATACTGCTGGATCCTGCTCAATTTTATATGCATTTTATGCTTGTTATAATATCTTCTTCTAAATCCAACATTTTTGTATGCCAAACTTTCCTCTAAACTCTGTAAACCCTAACATTTAAAAACATGCTTTCCCTTTGTATTGAATGTTGTTATTTATTCTTTTATAAGAATAAACTGTATGCTATGTAAAATAAAATTTCATTCTTTGAACTCAGTCAGTTTCATGTGATTTAAATTTTGGCAAGTACAACTTTTGGCTTTGAACTGGTTACCTGTGTTAGAACTTGTGACCAACAGGTAGAAAAAAATACAGTACCTAAAAATGAGTAAATAATATGTTGATTTTTATAGTTGACAGCTAAATCATGTCAGTTTTGGAAAATTCAAGAAAATTAATTTGCTGATGAAGTTATAATCTTTATTTTTATTCCAGCAGCTATTTTCATATAATTTTTGTCTTTAATACTTCATCATTGACTATATACTAGCTTTGATGAAGAGTTTCTCATTGTTGCTTTCTGAGAAAGAAGGGAACAAATATTTTAATTATTCCAGATGATTTACAAACATTTTCTTAATTTTGCAATTTTTTTGCAGATTAAACCAGTCAGGCTCAAGAGTGAGTAACATGCCCAAGATGTGGCCTAGAAAAGAACCCCATGACTACCAGAGACAATACCTTAAGAAATATCTATGAGCACATACTTCCTGACAAAACGAGCATCTTACCTCCTTCACTATTCTCAGCAACTCAAAAGAGATTGTTAGGATCGTTGTTGGTGTTAGGGGCCATAGTATCCCTATGAACAACAGACCTGAACATTTGTTGCCCTGTCCTGTGCCATGTTAGGTCTGTAGTTCTCTTAAAATACCTGAATCAGGGAGAGGGCTCCTGGTTGAAATTTTAATATTTTTCCATTTGGAGAAAAATCTCATGTCTATAATAACCTTAGTTACAAGACTTGGTTAGACTCTCTGGGAGGTGCTGGGGGTGGGGAGGGTGGGGAGTGAAGTGTATGTGCATAATAGTTAACTTTCTCAGCGGTTAAACAAAAACAGGGAGTTTCCCCATCCCCCTTTCTGCATATTAGAAGAAAGTCTTAGCAATGACAACTCAGTCACTGCAAAGCCTGTGGCATAATACCATTCTACTCTGTTAACAAAGGCTCACCATGAATTGGAACTGGCTGGATGACAACTGGATGCTTGGTTATAAAACTTGTCTGTTATCCATATTTTAGGGAAAGTACATTTTTTTTATGGTAAACATTTAGAAAAATTCCAGCATTACAGATTATTTTTCAGGAAAAGTATGAAGATACTTACATCTTAATTTCTTTTATTTATTTTTTTTATAAAAAGCAGGCATAAAATACAATTACATTACTACAAAGATGCAACAAAATTTTTAAAAAGAAAAATCAAGGGGTTCCGTTTTTGATCAGAGGGACAAATGATCAAATATTTATGATTATCTAAACCATGCAGTTCATAACTTATTACAATTCCAAATAAAATTTCATTATTATGGGGAAGGGTATTAAAGGAGAGGCCCCCAAGCATAATGTCCAGCACTGTTAGACAGGGCTTATTTTTCAAAGTGCTTTTACATATCAACTATGGTATCTTCACAACAGCGGGAAACTGAAGCATGATTCCAGGGAAGGAAAGGTGAGTCAGTAGCAGTAACCAAACCAGGCTGAGAAACTCAGAAGTGACTTAGCTTTAACTGGATTTTAAATCTTTAAAGCATGTTTCAGTAAGCTAATGTCCTAGCTGAGTTTCTCTATTTTACCACCATAATCCTAAAAGAACAGATTAATAACAGCAGCATAACTTCTTACATTGTGGTTTGGCAAACCCTAGAGTATATTTTAAGATCTACAAATAAACTGATGCAAAGTAGACCCTTCAGAGCCCAATCTAACCTTTATTTTAGATTGATTGGTATATGTATACTTTACTTAGCCATTTTAAGCTTTCATCAGATAGATTTTTTTTTTCCAAAAAGAAAAAAAAAACCTTGTTTCTGGATAGCATGTTTGTAGTTGTTTTAAAAAACTGATACATTAAAAACACTCACTATGCATTAAGTTTTAACAGTAATACCGGCACCAAATTTCCTTCTACTTCTGTCTCTCTAGCCCTACAAAACAAAAGTGAACAATTCAACTAAGAAAATCTCAGTATTCACTATTTTTTAATTCCCCATAGGAGGTATTTATGGCTCTAGGAGAAATCAAGTGTAAGAAAATAAGCAACTTTTACTTATATTTAACCTGGAAGCTTTAGGGTCTTTATGTAAAAAGGGGGGAAAAAACCAAACTGGCACAAAATCAGGTTGTTAAACCAAGTCAATATCATATTTAATGAATGTTGGGGAGAGAACATTTGGATCGACGCATGCACTCATGCACATGAGATGCACATGAAAGCAGCAACCAGGTAAAAGCAAATTCTTATCCAATGTCCAAATTTTGTAAGCACATTTCTATTAGCTAGAA